AACAAGGACCATGAATACAAATATATTAAGTCTCAAACAGAGAAGAAATTATTCATACCATATTTAGCTATCAGCTCATTTCCATCTGCAGGTAAAGACATAACAATCAACAAACACTTAAACGTGAAATCTTCTCTTTCTAACCGTCATTAAAACAGATCAATCTATAAAATATAAAGACCGGAACATTTATCAGAATAAAATATAACATTTCATTCAAATTAAGAACTCAAAATAAGAGTCAAATCAATGATGACAACACTAGTTGCTCAAGATCCATGTTTTTGCGCAATGGGAAAAAAATATATAACAAAAATGTGTCCACAATAAGAAAGAAATCCATTTGAACCCAATAATGCATCGCCATGAATGAACCAGAATATTTGCCAAACCTTGAAAGAACCACTACTGAGAAACCTTCCTTTAAATTCTGCATGATATTAACATGCCAAAACAAAGCCAACAAGCTGAGCACTAAAGCAGAGTCCGTCTTCCTGACCTGTGACACACTTCCCCTCCACACACTGACGCACACACTCTTTCCACCAGTGCACCCTGTAGCTGTCACTCGTTCCCCGCTGCAGTGACCTCTGTCAGGCTTGTGTCACTTTTTGGGGAGCGCCATCCATACGCACTCACTCTCCATTTGTTTATTTATTTGTCCACGTCGCTTCAGTTTCCAGTGTCTGCCTTCATCCTGTCAATCCTCTACTCCCCACTTCTCTCACGCCCCTCAGATGTCTTGTCTTTTTACTCGCCACCTCTCTCTGTTTTTCCCCTTCAGGTGTCTGCAACAGAGGTGTTGGATTTTACCTGTCTACAGATCCACTCTCTACTTTCACTGAGTTTCTCTGAACTTTGTGAAGACTTTTTATATACTCTTCTTTTCAGAACTTATCTGTATTTATGAAACCAAAAACATCCTTCATTCCAAGCAATGAACGAAATAGGAGAGGATTATTAAGCAGTTTATCAAGAGAGGATGCATCTGTGTGATGTTGGAGCTGCTAAGAGGTATTGTTCACCAGTTTTTAAACAGTATAAACGTTAAAGTTGCGAAACTGTTCTGCTACTCTAAAACCACAACAAAGTTCATTTATGCATACGACTACATGTAAAGCGAAAGAGTTCACTCTTGGAGACAAACCAATAAATAATTATCACGACTCTGCAGTTCCCCCAGCTCAATGCGTTTTAGCATCTTTCAGCTCATTAAACCAAGTATTTCCTTTACTATTTTTAACTCAGTTAACAGTGTTTTTTAAGACCATCCTTTCCACAGGAGTTGGTAGAGAGTAGAGACCAAAGAGCAAATATTTAACCTATACCGGAAACAACTCATAATGAATATTTGCCATATCAACTTTCATATAGTGATACTACGTCAGTGTTGGAGTTACGGCTTGTTGCACTGCCCCAAAAATGGCAAAGAAAAAAATCCCTGAGAGCAAAGATGGTGAACAGAAGCCATTTTTTTCTTTTTTTACCACCCTTCAACATGTCAGGAACCAGATTCAGATCACATCCTGCTCAATGAAATCCCAGCCAACCTCGACAAAACCCCCTGCTGAAATAATAATTGAGGATAGATGTGAATGATGTGACCGGAGATGATCAGGGTAGTGTGTGGCAGAGTTTGTCAGGAGATTTAATTTCAAGCAATTAAAGATTAATTTGATAAAGATGCAATGATGTCAATTTGTTTTCTTATTTGTGTTGCTGCATTGGAACCAGTTTCCTCCATTAAAAGTGTTTCTGTACTTGTAAGCCTTCACATGCTCATTTCTCAAGTCCTGTGTGTGTGCGTTTACATGTGTGTGTGTGTGTGCTTGTGTGTGTGTGTTCACCACAGCAGTGCTGTAAGAGCTAGATTTTCTGCAGGGATCATTAAGCACCAAGTTACTGAGGGAAATATCTCATCAGCTCATGAGCTGCACACCAGGGGACGAGCAGCAGGATCTGTGGCCGGCATCACAAAGCAAGTCTCCAATAGGTCTGAACACACAGGATAACACCTCGAGAACAGGTATCACGATGATGGCTACCAACCATCACCGGTAACAAAGTTTATACAAAATGTGTAGCTAAATTAATCCTACTTTAAAGAATCAAGGACTAAAACATTTTTATGCAACAACGATCTGAAGGCTCAGTTCACACCGCAGTAAAAAGTGGCACAAATAGGAGTTTTCACATGTGACCCAGCTCATTGTGAACAGCACAAACTGATCGTTTACATTCAGATGTGTGCCTCTTTCAATGGGCTCCTAAAACAGATACTGGTCAGATTTTTGTGATGAACATTAGTATCGGAATTAATACAACTTTTTACATCTGGTATTTCAACAAAATAGACATTGGTCCAACAGGTCAAGTGGAAACATTTTCTCAAGATACTTTTCCCAAAGAGCACATGTAAACTTTAATGTATTCACTGTGAATACTGGCCAGATTGAAAAGATATTGCAAACAGACATACAAATACATTGGCCTAGCTTTAGTTTGGTGTGAGTCATAGTTAGAGTCTATGGTTATGAAACCCACTGATTCTCTGAAGTTAACTGAGCAGTTGAACTGTGCAGCATGGTGATCAAACCCGGTTCCGAGATAGCCAGCTTCGTGACACTCGAAAATCCAAAGAGCCTATGATCTCACTTTGTGATACAGCTTCCTGAATTTGTTAATCTGGGTACATTTACAGGAAAACGTCCTCTACACTCTGAAGAAGTTTACCAAGACTTTAAAAATATATATAATTAACACCAGCAACATTAAACAGAGGACACAGGCTAATGAGTCCCATCATTTTCCCCCACCGCGCAGGGTGTATACTTAACCTGTCCTCTTCCTCAGTACACGAGGTACATAATCCCGACCACAATACTAATTGTTATGATTTCCCCGCTCTGAAAGACTCTGATAGGGAGCTTTGTTTTTTTGTGCAGGATGAGCGATCAAGATAAAGTAGGCCCTTTTTTTTTTATCACGGTCTTACAGCAATAAAAGGGAGGAAAGAGTAGCCCCTAAATACTACCACACCTGCAGCAATCTTTCCATCTGCATTTAAAATGTTCTACATCTTCAGTTCCAATATACACTGAGCAGATTCTGCAAACATACAATTAATTGGTTCCTTTGGGCATGTCCTTACACACTTGGCCTATTAGCAGCCAGGATGCAAACTAATCAGATATGAAAAGGTTACAAGGATCCAAAGTCCCTCCCCATCAGGCTCATTGTTAGCAGCACCTTTGACCATTTGGAAAATATATCTGTTAGCCTCTGCAAGGCTTGGTCTTTAGCTTTGACATACAGTAGGATCTCAAACATAGGAATATTGAATAATCCCTAGAAAGGAAGGGGCGTATGACTAACTAAAGAAGGTGGATTCCAATACAGATCAGATACAGTACGTCTTAATTGGGCCGCTGTCAATTTATTTGTTTGTCTTTTTAGACTCACTGGGAACATTTTTAGGCTCACTGGGAATTGTTCATCTCCTTTTTTAACATGTTTTACTAGCAGAAATTTAACTAAATGTTAATGCTCTCACAAACCTCAGCCTTTGAGACGTTATTGATCTAATTGCATTTTCAACATTAAAGTAAATGTCCAACAAAGATTCCTATCCTTTCCTCACAAAGAAAAAAATGACATATACTATAGCTAAAGGTGAAGTTAAGATGTACAATTTTAAAGAAATCTGTTTTAAAGCACTCTATATCTGATTTCCACATGTTGATGTTTTTTGACTGCAGGCAAAACGCGCTTGAAGGATTGGACGTGACAGCACATTGAAAGCAAGTAATTATATTGTTATACGGTCAATTCATTTCATGCTAAAACTCACCAATGACTTGAGGAACTCCTGCATAGTCACATGAAGGAGTGATTTGACTCTGCATAATGGGTGAGGATAGACCAACAAATCATACAGGAAGATTTGGTAAGATTTAGATTGAGAAGAGTGCAGTTGTGCCCAACCATAAAAGCTTTAAATACTAAAATGCTTCCCGAATCTCATTAAAAATCGTATAGATGCAAATCCAGTTAACCTTTTTTATGACTAAACTTGGAAAACTTGCCGAGCACTGACCTGACGTCCAGCTGAGAGGAGGCTGTGTGTTTGCATCCATCTCCATGTGATCCATGTGTGTTTCTGGGGAGCTCTCAAGGTGATACTGACACATCGTCTTCTGAAAATAAAAAAGAGATTTGTTATTATGCAATACTCAAGTACTGAAAATGTGCTGATACTTTTTAATCACTGAATGACAAATTACATTTATAAGGATCAAAACCATGGACTGTCAAAACTGCTTTAGAGGTCAACACATTGTGTTTATCTGGTTGCTTTATAACAGAGAGTCAAAACCCTTTGCTCCCACTCATTGTAAAACTTGTTAGATCAGTCTGTGATACATTCAGCTGTGTTGCATCGTGACAAGAAAGTGCTTTATGTGTGCTCGAAAGATCCAGATGGATTCAGCTCTCCCTCCTGAGTCCTGTGACTTTAGGGTATTCATCGAACATATGAAAGCATCTATCCATAGCCCTTACTGGCGCCCCATTGTTTTGTATGTTGTCTGAAAGGCCAACAGCAATACAATACAATATAAGCCGGGTTCATACTTTGTATAAAAACATCTGAATAAATTAAATAAAATGCATCCATGCCATACTTGAAGAGAAATTTGATTTGGAAACTCGGTATGATTAAATTACAAGTCTGGTCTAAAACGCACATTTTTTACACATGACCTTAACTTATACAATCGTGTGTAGTAGTGCCTGCTGTCTCTCTCATTCTTGCGTTTATTTTTATCAATTGACAGACTGGGCAGCGGTCCCAATAGGAGGATCATTCAGTACATAGTTGCGCACGACTTGGTGACATCAGGGGTGAGGGATCCTGAGAAATGACTCCGATGTGGGTATGACGACAGTGACCGGTAAGTATAAATGCTGAGACGCGAAGTTATCCGCTCATACCTCCAGACCCGGCCTTCACAGGTCACCAACCGCTGCGAGAGGCTGAGAGCAACGAGCATCACCGCGAGCTCAACAGAGGAGACACTTTGGACACTTCCCAGGTGAGTTTGGCGCACTTTAGAATAAACATGTATACAACGCAAATGTGTCCGTTTTATGTATTAATGGCTCCGTCTTATCTATTTGTGTAGGTGCAATTTATTTTTGCGTTGTTAAAGATTCACCTTGGAGGTTTTTAGGCAGCGTTTCCATCATTTTCAATTGTTTCAAACAAGTTTAAAATTGGGCTGAGTTTGCATTTGTTTTTAATGCCGATTCGTTTTTTGATAATTGCCTTGATTTTATTATAACTTTTAACGGTTCGGAAAACAATAGTCAGCTTACTGAATTTGCTGTTAACAAACTGAAATAGTTTGCAATGAAAAAATGATATCGTCCTCGTCTGAAAGGCGAGTAACAATCGAAAATAAGACTCGTGGTTTCGATATTAAATCTTCTTAAACATATAGTGTAGACATAAGAGAGTTCTCATTGTTCCCGCATTAATTTCATCTCTTGTATCATACCTTTTCCCATAGATCATAATCTATTTCTTCATCAGACGACCACCCACATTACCATGAAGTCGACATGTCTGCTCCTCTTGGCTTCTCTCGTGGTCTGCAACATGACTGTGTGTGGAGGACAGGGCTTCCCCGCTGAGGAGGAGACAGACGGCAGGACCATAGACGACATCATACTACAGAGAGCAGAGAGTCTCCTGTTACGGTCCATTCTCAGGAAGATGCAGGATGAATACGGCAGAAACGGTGCGTAACATGGATTTGTGTTGGATCAATGTTCCAGACAGATATATTTGGTGTAAAAGAGTGCCAATAAGTATCTAAAATGTTGGATATTCCAATTTCAATTTACCAATACTATGGCATTGAAATCTGGGCTATTTGCCTTGTGTTTAAATTGGAAGGCTTTAACTGATGGCAACATCTTCTAAGCAGTTTTACGTACTTTTTGTTTTTAATGTAGATACAATTTTAACATCGTGAAGAAAGAATGTTTGTTAATGTGTTTTAAATTGTTAAAATTGGTTAAGAATCTAGTTTCAATGTATTAGTTTGCAAGGAATGTGGACCAAGGCTACACTCATTGGTGCGTAATTTACGCACGGTCTATAAAAGGCGGGAGAAACACATTTTAGCAGTTAGGGAAACTTAAATTAGACTTTGATCTCCTTTAATTAATCTAAATGTGTTCCCTTTTCCAGAAGGGTCTTCTTCTCAGACAGAATGGGTGACAAAACGACAACATCCCGGTAAGAGGTACATCGAGGATTTGGAGAAGCGGCAGCATCCGGGGAGGAGAGAAGAAGATGAGGATGAACAGTACGTGGATGTTCAAAAGAGACAGCATCCGGGCAAACGCGAAGATGAAATGCACTCTTTCATGGAGCTCCAGAAAAGGCAGCACCCGGGGAAGCGCGTCACGATGGAACACGTTTCTGAAAACCCCATTGTGTTCCTGAGTGAACTTTCAAAACGGCAACACCCGGGGAAGCGCTACCTGGTGCTGCACAGCAAACGCCAGCACCCAGGTAAGCGCAACTTCGAGGATGAGGAGGACGATGGGGACTGGGACGCGGATTCAGATGGAGACGAAGAGTTCGCCGAGTTAGAAAAGCGTCAGCACCCAGGGAAACGGTTTTTGGATAACTCCAGTCCGGATTTAGGCACGAACAGTCCCTGTGATGTATTGGACCCTACGAGCTGCAGCAAGACCAATCTGCTGCTCGACTTTTTAGACAACATCAACAAGAGCCATGCCGAGGAGAAGAGACAACACCCGGGCAAAAGGTTTGCACCCGAGGAGGATTTAGTGGAAGCAGAGTAGGTTAAACACTGGTCTGGTGCGCGTGTACTGCTGTATTGTAAACAAATAAATGTGTAAATGAAGTGACCATAAAGAATTATTAAAAATGAAAAAAGAAGTTACACCATTGAATCTTTTGTGCTACCGTTTTTCTTTGGGCGACAGTACTGTCTGTATCATCATTGCAAAACATCTCTGCTGTTTTTTTTTGGGAGGGCGAAATTGTCTTTATATATCTAAATATCGCTGATTATGGTTTTCATTAGAGTACGTGCCATATCTTAAACTTTATTAAGGAATTATTATTATTAGAAATATTAACTCTTTATTTTATTAATTAGTCAATTATGCTAAAACCAAGTCCAAGAATGACAGCATCAGTCTCCTGGTTTTGGCGATGTTGCCTCTGTGAGGAAACACACGCTTGTCAGTGCATCCTGAAATATGATTTATGGAAGTGTGTTTACGGCTTTGCAGAGGAAACCCCTTGATTGGTTGATTTATGTTTATTTGTTTTATACTTCTGTATAATATAATGAATACCACCGCAACTATAAAGTGTCACTGATTATTTTTCTACATATAAATTGCATGGATTAAGTTTATTTAACCTATTGTTGTAAATTCAAAGTTATACCTTTGCCTTAAAGTCAAAACACCAATGTTTTTGTTGGACAATAAAACGCATTGGTAACAATGTATGGCTGAAGTTGCAGTAATTCCTGCCTCAAGTGCACTATTAAAGTATTTTACATGTTTCAACCCAACAGGTAGGTGTGTAGTCCAACAAGGCAGACACTGTCCCTTAGCTTGATCTAATGGTTCATGCAATTCAACTGCACACGCACTGTGGCAGATGTCCTCTTCTCACTTTAATTGGGCTCATTCCATCACAGCAGCTGCCTACACAGGCCTGATCAATATGCAAATTATTTCCTCAATTACATGCATGGACACTTTATGGGAGAGGAGCTCCACTAAATGGCACACACAACATTCAAATCCAGCAGTAACGTTTCAGTGGAATGATAAACCATTAAACGATGCACACAAATAATTTCAGCGTAATAAACTCAGGAAGGAGAGCTGAATCCATCTGCTTCTTCTGAGCACACATAAAGCACTTTCTTGTTACGATGCAATACAGCTGAATGTATCACAGGCAGATCTAACAAGTTTTACAATGAGTGGGAGCAAAGGGTTTTGACTCTGTTATAAAGCAACCAGATAAACACAATGTGGTGACCACTAAAGCTTTTATGGTTGGGCACCACTAAACACTATTCAATCAAACCCTCACCAAATCGTACTATATGAAACTGTCTTGTATATATTTAAGTAATTATTTTTAGTCAACATGAACAAGGACAGGATGCAATGGGCAAATAATACTAACATATTATTCAGTTAGGTCCTGTGTAGCTTTGGCATTTATTTTTATGTTAAGGTCATGTGTAAACTCTCTAAAAGGTTAATATCTTATCTGTGAATGTGGAAGTGATATGCACACACACACACACTTTTATTACTCAGTCTTTAGTTTAGCATTTTTGTTTACAATTTGGGTTTTTCGAGCCTTAAAAATTAGGCAAAGTCTATTTGTGACAGCTCATCACAGGTTATTTTGAATGTAGATGTGATATTTCCTTTTAAATGGGGTCATATAAGTTTGAAGAAGTAATTTGAAGTTGTGTAGTCATGAAGGTAAAACTAACAGGACTTTACAATACAAAATCAAAAATCAGGATAACATCTATTAAACATTATTTTACGTAGGCCTAACAGAAATACTTTTTCATTATACATTCAATCATCATTAGATTTGTGTTCCTGACCCCACAGATTGAGAACGGCTGAGTCAGTCCAACCAATTATACTAAAGCCTATTTGACTAGAGGCCTCAGGGAATAATTTAGCTTTTACTTCATGAACATGGCATTTTGTTTTATCGCAAATTGAGCCGAAGGCTAAAACAATACAAAGTTTATAAAACTATAAATTGAAGGTGAATTAGCTAGTTAAAGGTCAAAATGTTGCAACATGCCTCAGGCTAGGTTATAATGCAAGATTCCATAATGCTCTTATCACTTCAGTTCATTTTAATGCAAATTCCTGAACAACTTATCAATTAACAAAATCCAACTCAACTGACAGTTTCCTTGGGACCCATTGCACACCAACATAATGAACTCAAAGGTAGGGTAGGTAATTCACTTCAGAAACACTTTTTGATATATTCCATGGAAAGTTATATGATGAGGCCCTCTGTGTCGCCAGCGTCGACTGGGGGGGCGTGAGGCCCCCTCCGCGAGGTGAGGCCCCACGCAGTCTGCGTGATCTGCGTGTAGGGAGCATGGATGTATAATAATAATAATAATAATAATAATAATAATAATAATAATAATAATAATAATTTAAAGCTGCAAGCAGCGTTGAGCGGGTCTTCGACGCTCCGCAGGCTGTTGTCCGCACGTCGACGTCAGGCAGATGTCTCGAGGACTCGGCCGTTGGCAAACGTGGGAAGTTTCAGGCCGATGGGACAATGTATTTAGGAGTATTTAGCAGTATCATAAACATTGTGTTTGATGGCGAGTGATCTGTCGCCATGGCAACGGCATATGACGACAACCCATAATTGGCGTAGAGCTGTTCAAGGCAGGACCATTAGCCATCATCTGATGTCTGGTGCCGTTTGGACCATTTTCATAGGAGTAACGGAAACATCGGGTTTTTTGGCGAGGGATGTGTTGCCATGGAAATGGCATATGGTGAGATCTCAGATTTCACGTAGAGCTGTTGAAGCATGGACCGGTGATATAAAAGTGAAGATTGGGGGACGATGGGACCGTGTCCATTGGAGTTACAGCGACACCGTGTTTTATGGCGAGGGATGCGTTGCCATGGAAACGGCATATGATGACATCCCATAATTGGTGTAGAGCTGTTGAGGGCCGGACCATTAACTGTCATCTGAAGTCTGGTGCCGTTTGGAACCTTTTCCATTGAGTTAAGACAACATTGTATTTTATGGCGAGGGATGCGTTGTCATGGAAACGGCATATGATGACATCCCATAATTGGCATAGAGCTGTTGAGGGCCGGACCATTAGCCATCATCTGAAGTGTGGTGCAGTTTGGACCATTTTCCATTGACTTAAGACAACATTGTGTTTTATGGCGAGGGATGCGTTGCCATGGAAACGGCATACGGTGAGATCTCAGATTTCACGTAGAGCTGTTGAGGCATGGACCGGTGATATAAAAGTGAAAATTGGGGGACGATGGGACCGTCCATTGGAGTTACAGCGACACCGTGTTTTATGGCGAGGGATGTGTTGCCATGGTAACGCCATATTAAGTAACATCAAATTTGACGTAGAGCTGTTCAGGGCCGCAGTGTTAACCATCATGTGAAGTTTGGTGGCGTTCTGAGTATGTCAGTTGGTGTTATGACATCATCGTGTTCCATGGCGAGGGATCGCCTAGCATCAAGCGAACGCGAACTTTGGCGCCAAATCACGGCTACGCCGTGCGAAAGAAAAAGACTTCCGTGATAACTTTGAATTGCCCATGTCTCGAGACGCTACCTGACGAATTTCGAGTCGTATGGATAAAGTCCCTGGGAGAAGATAGATTTCGTGCGGAGGACGAAAAACGCGATAAATCGCGTTTTTCCGACGCCAAATTCAAAATGGCCGACTTCCTGTACGTTATTTTATACCCCTCCAAGAGGCTTTTTTGTTCGTCTCCGCACCCTAGATATGCGTAGCGAGTTTCGTTCGTTTACGTGAAAGTTAAAGTGGGGGGAGTTTACGTTAAAAACGGAAGTGGGCGTGGCCTACGCAATTTTTTACGCAAAGTTCCGGAACCAATTACATATCGCAAGTTGCACCACTTCTGACGCGCGTGCAAAATTTGGTGAGTTTTCACATATGTTGCGGGGGTCAAAGGTTTATCGGTCGCGGGTCTTCGCCGACCTAGGTCTCAGACCCTAATGAGGAGGGGCGGCCCTGCACATATTTCATCTGTGGAATCCGTGGCGCTGTAAAAAGCATGTCCAATTATCTGCCCCGGCCCGCGGCAGATAATTGGATGGCCTACCTGCCTGTCAGCCTTCCATCTCGTGCACAAACTTATCTCGTGCCCTCATTGGTCATGTGTGTGTTGGAGTAGGGGCTCTGTAAGGAAGTCTGAAGGAAGGGGCAGATTTTTTTCGGTTGTGTACTTTCAAATTCTAGTTTACTCGAGCTGGTTTCTCCATTCTTACGTATACCCATATACCTTTAAAGAGAGCAACATCAACTAGTCAGGACAAACTTCATGCAGCATTAACTGCCCATGTCAGGAAAACAAAGCAGAATCAAACACATAATAAAGCATGAAGCACAATGACACAAAGTTAAATTATACACTTACATTGTTGTGATAATAGTTCTGAACTTCTGACGGTGGCGTCCTCAGCAGGTGAGCAAACTTGTTCCTGCATAAACCAGAGAGTTTCCGATTAGGGTGATGATGATCACTGATAATGACAGCAATTAAACATGGAGATGGGGGAAGTGGGGTCCAATCAAGGAGAGTAATGGGTTGAAAGATTCTTAAACCTGAAATCACGAAAATATTCAATATATTAGCAGATTACCGGTAACGTGTGAAGCACAGATAGGTGCTGCACGTGCACGTGCTCATATCGCCGCCTAGAGGCGAGGTGAGGTATTGAAACAGGAAGTGGACATCAGTGCAGGGGACTTGAGGGGTAATTTAACCTTTATCTTGTCCAAAAAGTGCAAGTTAAATATATTTTTAGTTGGGTATTTTTGTTTTTGCAAGCAATGTAAACAAGAAGGCAATTATTGAAATGATTGAGTTTTTTTGCTGACATGTGACTTATTATGTGTTGTTGTATAAGAATGTGTTATAAATTCGCACATATTCGCATTGATCTAGTAATTAACTACAATTTATATGTAGCTTTATCAGAATCAGAATACCTTTGTTCGTCCCACAGAGGGGACTTTTTAATTGTTAAAGCAAAAGTTAAGATGGAGACAAAAAATAAAACACTATGAGATCAAATAAAAGGGCATGCACAAAAAATATAAAGAAATAGAATAGAAACAATTTAAAAGTTATTCAAAGTAAACCAACCATAAATTATCCCTAGAGTAGCTTTAGTGTTAATTCTTCCAGTGTGAAGTTATTGGAAGCTTGCAAATCCATACTTTTTCAAGTAACTTCCCCAACACTTCTCTTTAAAATTATTCTGAAGACTGTCATTGAATCTGCATTATGTAAATACATTGTTTTGTGTCTATTGTCCGGTTTGTCCCTCTTCGCTTGCCTTACCCACTGAACGCTAATCACATGACCAGGCAGGGCTGCTGCTGCTGCAGCTGGTGTTGTCGAGCTGTCACAGAGAAACTGTCAAACACACACTTATTGGATTCATTTGTAAGTATAACTGATCCACCGTGTTACAAATATTCTTCGATTATTTGTTTTTGCTAAGTTGTAAGTTATTTATGTCCGTGTTATGAACAATGAGATCAAATAAATAATGGCTAAAGAAAGCGAGAGCTGCTGTTAGCATCTTGTAGCTAACGTTACAATCAGTGGTCAGTATAACGGTGTTACAAATATATTAAACTACAGGCTACACCTTAAGCGTTTATACAGTTAATATGTACATTTCACATGCTGGATAAAATAGTGCTCGCTTGCTGTCAGAAAAGCAAATAACGTAACTTATTGTCTAAGTTATCTAGGTTAGTCTTTCAATGGGTGGGTCAGGTGTTTAAACTGGCTAATATTACACGTTAATATTAAATCTGTAACGTTAAGTCACTGTAATGGTTGTAAAATGTGTGCTCTGTAAGATTTGTGCAACTTATAAAACTGTCAGCAGTAACGTTAGCTTGTTAGCATAGCTTTCTGTAGAGGACCAGAGCGGGCTGAACATGTAAACCTTTGTTACTCATGAGAACTATATTACATGATAACTAACCTCCATTTCTACAGGTATAACAACCGCAATTTGATTGCATTTTTAAAAGAGTACCACGTAATACAGATCTGCTTCCAATACCCTGTAATAAAGTGTGTCTGCTAGATATGGCTGTTTATTGACACACTTGCATCTCATGTTTCATCACGTAAGTCACATTATAAAGTTTGCATAAATGACCAGATTAGTGGTTGAAACTTACATGTTAACCATAATACATGTTTTCATATCTGTGTTAGATTTTTGGGCATGTTTAGTAAATACTTTGATCCCACCAAGTATCTGGAATATCATATTTGGATTTTGTTAAATATTAATAGCCTCAATCTGATCTGCCCCATTCTCAGTGTCCCAAGATTTTCTCTGGCGTGATGGAGTCATTCTGGGGTGGATTGCACACCCCGTGAAATGTGGACCAAAGCAAGAATCTCCCAACCTGCATCTCTTTTCCCAAAACACATCCTGCCGCTGTCATGGCCTCCAGTTATCCACCCCCCTTTGAAGGAACAGGTGAAGTGAAGGAGGGCTTTCTCTGCCCACTTTGCCTGAAGGACCTTCAGTCATTCTACCAACTCCAAGCCCACTTTGAAGAGGAGCACTCTGGGGATGACCGCGATGTGAGGGGACAGATCAAAAGTGAGTCCCATTGATTGTTATTGAAGATTCTGCTCACTGCCATGAAGCCATTTGAGTCTTATCAAGTTGTGCAAAACAGGGTCTTAAGAAACAGTAAAATACTTAGTGCTGAATAGTTAAGCAAAAAGACAGTACTGCCTTCTTAAAAAGCAGCATAAGGAGTATGGTTTGAATTTGATAAAAGGCACTGCAGTGTTTGACTGGGGGAGATTGTTGCCAGGATGAATTGGCAACATATTCTGCTGCAGGGAGGGACAGTAGATTAAAGTGGAAAATTGTGAAAACTAAAGAGGAAGAATCTCAGTTGGAAACAGAGGCATGCTCGGAGTTTAGCTCTCTGATTTATAGCAGCTATTTGGATGAAGTTAAAACCAATATATATGGATATTTGGTGTAACAGTGAAATTATTTTTATTCGTGCACAGGTTTGGTTCAGAAGGCAAAAAAGGCCAAAGACAAGCTGTTGAAACGGGATGGAGATGACAGACCGGATACAGGCAGTTATGAGTCATTCTATTATGGAGGAGTGGACCCCTACATGTGGGAGCCTCAGGAACTGGGTGAGAATATAAAACTGGGCGAAAGAAAATCCCCACTCCTTTTTAAAAGTTCCTTTTCTTCATACCATTTGATAATAATAAAAGAATGATTTAAGAACGCCTGAAAGCTGCAACCACTTGCTGAACTCTTACGGTTTCCTTTCTCTTTGTTTTGTAGGAGCGACCAGAAGTCACCTTGACTTCTTTAAAAAACACCGGGCAGCCAGGATAGATCATTATGTCATTGAGGTCAACAAGCTCATCATTAGACTGGAAAAGGTATGTTTACAAAGCATCGGAACTCATTCACACCATAAATATGTTCCTGTTGTTAATATTACACTCAAGGTGTTACTGTGAAAACTAATTTGCAATAAAATATTGTTGTTTCAGTTGACATCGTTTGACAGGATGAACTCTGATGTCGCCAAAATCAGAGGTTTGTTCACATGTTTCTATTACAACTATGAATCCTATGAGTTTGTTGATATAAATGATTTAATATTATAAATTATTAAGTGTTCATCCTGCTTTATAGCTATCGAGAAGTCAGTGGTGTCATGGGTGAATGACTCGGATGTCCCGTTCTGTCCTGACTGTGGAAACAAGTTCAACATCCGGAACAGGCGGCACCACTGCCGTCTCTGTGGGTCCATCATGTGCAGGAAGTGCATGGACTTCATCCTTTTACCTATGGCTCGTACGTATGAGCAAATCTCTGCAAAAAAATTAATATTAAAGTAACGTTTCACCATGTGTGTCTCCATGCTGTGACAAGTCCGCCTTTTATCTGTGCACAGAAAAGCTGATCAGCGGGACTCGAGTTAACCTCGGTGTACTTGGAAGCCCCGTTCATTCCCATTCTCCCCAAGTAGGGGGGGGGAACAGTGGGATGGGCTCCAGGAGAGGCAGCATCAGCAGCCTGAGCAGCGTCACCTCCATGCTGGAGGAGAAGGACGACGAGAAGATCCGCTGCTGTCACCACTGCATGGACACGCTGCTGAAGAGACAGCAGAAGCTGGAAGAGAGGGACCACATGCCGGATGTTGTGAAACTTTATGAGGTTTGGCACATCAAACAATATTAAAGTTAAAATAAGAACAAACTCTAAATATGTCTATTTTTCTGTTCCCACAAGTCTGTTTACTTTTCACGCTGTCTTGAGTTTACACTGCTGTATCCTTCCCGTCATTCAGTGTTTGGCTTTTGGGGTTTCCTGTTGTTCACTTGCTCTCTACTTGTCTTCCTGTCAGAGGCTGAGGATGTGCATGGAGAAAGTGGATGAAAAGGCTCCAGAATACATAAGAATGGCCGAGTCGCTCAAGTAAGCTCCAGTTAGAAAGTCATTTAGTTAGCAGGTGAGAAATAATCTGTGATACTGGAGACTTCTTGCTTACTGTCATGGCTGTATGCTTTCACAGTGCCGGAGAAACTACATATAATCTTGACACGGCTGGTGGACTGAGACTGGAAGTGCAGAAATACTACGAACTAATCGATGCCCTAAGGTAGCTATCAATCTATCAAATAACAAAACTGAACAAAAGTCTTCTTCATTCATATTGTTAAATATGTGTTTTCTTCTCAGTAAGAAGATTTTAACACTAGGAGCAAAAGATGATCCACCACCGCGTCCAAAGTCCCTCCAGCTGCAGAAGATGATCCGATACACAGCAACACTATTTGTTCAGGTAATATTCAGGCTACATCCCAAAGTTGGGTTGCACTGGGGTTTCCCATTAATCACTCACTACATTAATACAGTACTCCTGCTCCATACGTCTTTCCAATTTGACCTCTCCTTTCCCTAAATTCTGCCCTTCTTCTTGTCCTCCTTGTTTTAGGAGAAGCTGTTAGGTCTCATGCCTTTAACCACTAAGGCAAAATATGAAGAGCTGAAAGAAAAGAGGAAACAGGAGCAAGAGAAGAGACTCCAACAAGAGAGACTGGTGAGACTGTGTTCTCCTACCACTCATTCTTCATCTTCCTTCATAACAAATGTTTAACCCTATATTTCCCTGCTCAACAGGTCAGCCAGGAGACCCTGAAGAAGAGGCAGGAGTCTGAGAAAAACCGTCCAACCCCCAGTACCAACGGAGAGCAGCCGCAAGCCCCCAGAGCTCCACGCATGACCAAAGCTGGCGGCTGGTTGCCCTCCGCAGACTCCGTCCATACCCGCAGTGAGCTGGAGGACCCCCTGCTGCAGCAGATTGAAAACATACGGTCGTTCATTCGCCAGGCGCGGGAGGCCAACAGAACAGACGAGGTGGCCATGTTGGAGGAGAACCTGCGTCAGCTGCAGGACGAATACGACCAGCAGCAGACCAGCCTGGCCATCGCACTCTCCCAGAAGATGGCCGAGGAGGAGAGCTTGCAGCAGGGGGAGCTGGACCGCCTGGAAGCGTGGGAAAGGGACGAGAGGGAGCACTGGGGCCCCACGGTGGGCCCCACCCAGCCCTCCACCCAGCCCTCCTTCACTTGGGAGAGGTCTCTGGATATCAGTACGCCAGCGGGCTTCCAAGGAGACCCTGAAGCAGAGGAGCTGACCCCGAAAGCTGAGAGTCCGTTCTCTGTCAGAGCGTTCCCTGCTCTCACGAGCCAGGAGGAGTCACCCCCCCGGTTGAGAAGCTTAGGGGGGCATGTGACCCCCCCGGGTGGTGAAGGACAGAACAACACCCCCCTCAACCCTTTCGATGAAGAGTCTACCCCAACTGAGGAGGATCCATCCAACCCCTTCTTCGAGGAAATAAAGAGAGAACACAAAGAGGTGAGCAACGGGAAGAAAGAATACAACCCGTTCGATGAAGATGAAGAGGTGGAGGAAGACCAACAGGCCGAGTCGGCACCAGGCAACCCCTTCGAGGAGGACGGCACTACAGACACAGGCAACCCTTTCCTGGAGGCGTCCGGGAGCTCTCCAGAGGTCTCCACCAACCCCACCAACCCCTTCGAAGGGGACGATGATGAGGCTTTGCCCGACGTGGACATGATAGAGGAAGAGTTGCTCCTGCAGCAGATTGACAACATCAGGGCCTACATTTTTGACGCCAAGCTCAGCGGGCGTCTCGATGAAGTGGAGCTCCTGTCAGAGAACCTCAGAGAGCTACAGCACACCCTTACAGAACAAAAAAAAAAGAAGCACTGATACCTTTCACAAAAAAAAACAAGATGGACCCACCTGCTACTTACCAAGTCCTGCAAGGCTAGCTCACTTTACATGATGACTAATGAGCCCACTGATTTTAGTCTGGGTGAGGTCTGCTGAACCACACAAAGATTAGTCACTAAATTAAATGTGTACTAGAGCGTGGTAGTCTGGATTGATTTCCTTAATTTCCAACATCTTTCTTAACCACTTATCCTGTACAGGGTCACAGGGGGCTGGAGCCTATCCCAGCATGCACAGTTTTTAAGCACTGCAACTAAACATCTATTTGTACAGGCATGTTCTGAAGATATGAACCCTGTAGTATCAGGGACAACATGAACAATGGAAGACAGAAGAATGCTACTTTAAACATTTGTTTAATCGGACAGTCAAGACGGCTGAAGCTATGAACAAAATCAAAATTTAATTTCGGCCAAGGGTGAACAAACGGAAGTGATTAATGCATGTTTCAACATGTTTCAACATCTGTTGTGAACGACTGTCTTTCCTTTTTTTGTGAAAGTACTTCCTGTATTCCAGTGAAAACAGACTTCGATGTGTAAAATCAGTTGCCCTTTAATTTCATTAGTGCCATCTTGGTGTACCCGCACATGTGTTTATTTGTGGTAATTGAAGTACCTGCTGTTTTTTTAACCAAAGCACCCAACCATGCTTTACTGTTCCAGCTGGTCCATGAGCAACATTACAACTATCACCGAACAACCATCTGATAATAATGAAACATGAAATTAGCCTTATATGACAGCAGTCGGGCAGCCTATTGTTTGCAGGAAAGTGATGATTAAATACGATGTTATATATTAAAATGTAATCCCAGGCTTAAATGACCTATTCAGTCACAATTGTTGGTGCAGAGCCACTTTATAAGGGAAATGAAAGGCTAATTATTGCTGATCCTGTTATGTAAATGTCACACTGACTATGATTACATTAACAGAGGTTAAAGCTTTTAATCATCATACTTTAAATAACAGCCACATGTGCATCTGCAATACACTGTCCATGCGTCGAGTATGTATGTTATAACAGCTATTCATTTCTGTGTCAGTGAAAGTCGTTTTTTCTGTAAATCTAAATGAACATGTTGACCTGTTTCTGTTCGCATGGACGTAAGTGTTGATCTTGTGCATCTAGTCTGTCATGTTGGCCTTGCTATGAAAGGGTAATGTTGTTTTAAGCATCTCAAACACCACATTGAGCCAAGTAAACGGAACAATTGCAATGTTTTACTGCTCGACCACTAAAGGTTGTGATGTTAATGCTGATCCAAATGAGCACGGGCATATGTCTGTGTAAGTGCAGTTTGATGCTGGTCTTTCTAAAAGAGCAAGTGGCCCAGTTTCTCGTATTGCTATATTCATTTTGTGTTACACATTCTGATCAAATCTCATAGCTCCTGTAATGTGCTGTTGGCCGAGATCTGTATGTGAAGCATGTTATATGTTTGGTAGTCATCTAACAAGTCCATTAAGAGTTCATCCAAACGGCACTCACCATCAACTGAACACTATCTGCCGAAGCACATCATAGGCAACAAATTAAGCACCAGAATTCACTGGAATCATAGTTTACAGATAGGAATCAGCATTTGTAAAGACTGACTTAATGCCCAACAGCAACATTAGACAGTTTTTGTTTGTCAGATAAATTAACACTACATGCCAGCAAGTATTATCACTCAGTGCTGCTACGTCCTAACATTAATGTGTCTTTCCTGTCAGTCAGAACGTCCACGTTTATCGTCATTAGACTTCCGTTTTTTGTGTCGTCTGCTAAACTCACTTTGCTTATCTGTGCTGTCAGATCCTAAGAAGTAAAACATGTGACACGGTAAATGTTTTGTGACAGTGTGAATAACTCCAGGAGCTTCATGGTGTATAAGCAGTTTAGCTAATTTGGTAAAACATTTTAAATCACACAGACATCAATTTATTACAATTCCATCTCAGCACCAATAAAAACGTTGTCTCTGTAAAATGTTTCTCGTTCTTGTGATAAATCTGGTGGAAGTTTTGCATCTCAATTTAATCCTGTCTCACATGAAAACGCTGTGGTTACGCTCACTCAGGACTTAGATTTTCCTAATGTTCAAACAGAGCGACAACTACAGCCACGTAGGCAAATCATTTTTTATTTGAATGTTTACATTGCAGGGTTGACACTGGGCTGGATGTAAATTGCATCCGGATGTATTGATTTGTCAATCCAGACACCTCACGTATAAACAGATGTCAAGTGACCCAAACCTCGACCAGTTTTCAGTGTGTGTTGGAAGGTTCCTGCTGCTCATGGTGGACTCAAGAGTCTCAGTCCAGTAACGTTCTCACAATGCACAGCATAGTGGGACCCCTTTAATTACTCATATTTACAGCAAAGTATGCAATGCAGGAGTCCTCTTGTGTATTCGTATAAAATCATACATAACACAAAACCATAAAATTGTCCATTTACAGTACTCAGATCTCTTCAGCTGTTCACTCCTCCTGAGCTGCTGCCATCATGGTGCGGTATTTGCCCGTCATCTCTTTTGGCAGAGCGATGGTCCCGGGACACGGCACCTGGCCGTCCACCTCACAGATACACTCCCGCAGGCAGTACTTCCTGGGACCAAAGTTTGCCGGATTGGATTCCTGCATCTTGGCCTGAGCCTCAGCTTGTAACACTTCTCTGTAAACAGAAAGGGGGGGTAAATCAATATGTTTAAAGAATATCTGGCAACCGAAGTAATAGGCCGTTTTCACAGAGTACAATTGAGATGTCATTTTAGGAAAAGCACAGAGGTAAATGAAAATAGTGGTGGCCTGATTTGATTTAGCTGTTTTGTGCATAACTGCTATGACACTCAAATTAAACTGAGCCATTATTTATCGGTTACATTAATAATTTCCTTCTTAAACAACTCAAAATATCTGTACATTCATAGTTATTTACAGGCAGTGATCTTATATCATCCATTAGTATAACAAATAAACTAAGAGAGGTTTAAACCAGTTCTTTAAAAAGAAATCACGAGATAACTTCTGTTATGATTTGGTATTATATAAATACATTACAGTTGATGTGTTTTGTTGCAGCATTTCAGAAAACCTGTAGCTGCTCCGTCCACACTCACAACAACGTCATACAGACATAAATAATAATAACTTGCTGAACTATAGTTAAAGGTGGGGTAGGTAAGTTTGAGAAACCGGCTCGAGATCGCTAGAATTTGAAAATACACAACCGGAGAAAATCTGCCACTTCCTTACAGAGCCCCTCCTCCAACACACACGAACGCGCACATGACCAATGAGGGCACGAGATAAGTTTGTGCACAGATGGAAGGCTGACAGGCAGGTAGGCCATCCAGTTATTTTAGCCGGACCGGCTAAAATGATTGGTCGTACTTTTTACAGTATTACGGCTTCCACAGATTACATTTTTTTATGGATATTTGTCAAAGCACTTAAGATATTCATTGCTATCGGGATGTTAAGAGCATTCCATGGACTATAACAAAAAGTGTATCTCGAGCCGGTTTCTCAAACTTACCTACCCCACCTTTAAATGATCCAGTTTCATCCTTTATTGTATAATGTCTGATGAACGTATCTTAATATTTGATTTATATATCCCCAATAACTATAATCACAAGCACTTATAATGCAGGTTTAGTGAAACACAGCACACACTTAAACAAAGACTCTGAATTTCTCACTCTGTTTTGCCCACAATCTTCCTCACATGGTCGGAAATATGTTTGTGGTCCTTCCCTTCAACGTCCACCAGCACTTGCTCTCCATCGTCTGCAGAAAAGAGAAAGGACATTAGCCCAAGCTTGGCAGGATACCTAATAGTAATGATACTGATATTATTAATATTATTACAGGTCAAACAGTGCAAGGCTACACACCCAGGTAGAACTTCAAGAACGGCGACGGGGTCATATTTTTGAACATCATGACTTGCACCCACTGGTTTTTATACTGAATCTGAGGAATATTGAAGAACACAAATTTTCTGCAAAAGAGGGAGAAAGTTCACATTTTAAGAAATGCATCACTGGACAGGCAGCATGACTTTCTAAATACATTTTAGAGAAACAACTTCAACACAAGTTAAAAGGTCTTCTTTTAAGGCAGGTGAAAGGAAAACAATAAAATGCACAGGAAAATATCCAAAGTTATAAAAACAGGTTGTTAAAATAAATACCAAATCTATTAGTGAGGCTGACTTAAGCGAGTTATTCTGTCTAATTGAACAAAATAAAACATTAATCACAATCAATTTCATTTGTCTACTGTAAAACTTTAATTTAGCTACTTATTTAAACATGCAGGCACTATATTCACGTCTGGGGTCTTTTATGCCTGGTTTTGATTAATTTGAATCATGTAATACTACAGTATGTTGGTTTGTATTACTGCATGACACTAGAAGTTACCTTGATAAATAGGTAGAACATTTTATGTGATGATAAAATCCACTAAACCAATTTTAGCTGACATTTCCCGAGATGTTATGGACCAACACTTGTCTAATCACGACACATAATTAGCGTACAATTATAGATACTGGAATGTATCATTATTTACAGCCCCATCGTCACACAAATTATATTTAGGGTTGAGTGCATACCACTTTAATAACACACGCTTTTTATTAAATATCATTATGAGGAGACATATCTGCAGTGTTTTAGCAGTGTGTGTGTTTTACAGTGAAGTAGTCTGCTGTCTCTGACCTTGCTCCCTCGCTCAGCTCTCCATGTGTGTTGTAGTTCACCGTCATGATCTTCACTCTGTTTTTAAACACGATGTCTCCCTTCTTCAGATACTCCAGAGTCCTCCTGATCGGAAACCGTCCTTTCATAGGCATTTTAAACTCTTTTTTGTCCACAAAATATCATGTAAAGCAGCCTGTGCCTGAGTCGCACAAGCAAAGCACACGGACAGGCGCCTTTTGATGACGTCTTGAGTCGTTGTCACGTGTTTTTTTTATGGAGAAGAAAAACGTCAGTGGTAGGCTCTTTGGAAAACGATGCTCATAATAAATACGGAATTATATATTACAAATAAAAAAGTAAAATACAAGTAGATGAATTGTAGATCATAAGAAAAAAAAGTTTACATTCAGGCTTTATCATTTTGTACAAGCCTACACTTAGTAGTAGTCTTTAATATATTTCAGAGAATACAAATAATAGAAATTCATTGCAAAAAGCATTAAAATAGGAATGACTTGCCACACAAAAACATGTTTATCGGTGACTGTAATGTCACAATGTTTAAACCCCACAGTCAGATAAATATTAAATGAATTATATAGCTTTACTTTTTTTTTCATATGAGATTAACATCCTTTATGCGTTTACTGACAAGTTTCTCTCAACGATAGTTTGAGTTGTGTTTTTGTGTTGTCCTTGACAAAGCTTTAGTTACATGAGAGAAAACTCTGTAATATCCAGGTGTTGGCAAGCGTCATACTTAGGTTTTCAGCAATAATAGACTCAGTCATGTCATATTTCATAATGAATTGTTTATTTCTTTTTATAGCATGTGGCTTCAGAGAAGCAAGCCTCAGAGACTGGAATGCTGATACAGGAGCTCAGTCGATTATGCATGTTTTACATCTTCATTGGTGTGAGGTAGAAATGTGGGGTTGTGACAAACTTGAGCAAAACATTTATGTTGTTTCTAAATCTCAATGTTTGAAGAAATGCATTTCACATAAGCATAAAAAACCAAGAACATTAACATTGTATACAATGTTAACATAGGATACTCAAGCCACAAAGCTCAATAATAGAAATCTGATGTACTATCCTGTAATGTAAGAGCTGCTTATGGTTAATATTTTAAAGCCACAACATTTAAATACACATTTTTCATAAAGCATTTAATAAAATGCACTTAAGCAACTTCTTCATGCACTGCAATGCACTATAAAATGTATAACAATGCTCCTTATGAGGGCAGACAGCGACAAGATTATAAAACCTGGCTTACAAACAACATGCACTCATTTTAATGAAACTACATGTACAAAGGTCATTTCACAACAGTGCCTTTACAAACAGTTTGTATGGGTTTTAAACCCAAAATATTACAATTGACATTTACTTTTCAAGACATAATCCTTTTTGACCTCTTTACATTCCTGTTATCATTCATGTTGCTGTGGATTCTGAACCATTGAGGATTGGGTTAGTCAATGCAACTCTTTGTCTTTAAAGAAAATGCAGGTCTTTAAAATAAAAAAACGTACTCGAAAATGGCTTCCCAAAAAAACTTTTTTTTCAAATCAGGGAAACCTGCCCAAAAGTACTTTAAGTACACTTAGTATGCAACAAGCACATTTTGTTTACAACAACATAACGTTTTTAGAAAACATATAAAACACAAAGGTTTAGTCAGCATGAAAACAGTGGAACGCCACACAAGCTGATTGATGTGCACAAAGCAAAGAACAAATGCAAACACAAGTACAAAAACAGTAACATTGCTACACATAAGTAACATTTCTGAACTCAAAAATATTTAAGATAATATAATTCCTTAAAAGAACTAACTGCCAATGATAAATACACATACAAAAAGCAGATTGAGAAGAAGTGCCATGACACTGATGGGACAGAGAGAATTACCATGTTATAGATTGTCGTAAAGGGAAAGTGATCAGGTGATTGCACTGGTCATTAGCAACATATTAATGATAATACATACATTAGTGTACATCTCTGATAAGTCTTTTAGAATAAAAAAAGAAAAAGGTCAGTGAAACTTGCTAATTTGGCCAATCTGAAGGTGAGTTCAAAGTAAAACTAAAATAAACCAGACATTGGTCATGTTGTAATGCACTGAATGGTCGGTAAATGCTGTTGACGCCAGTTCATATAAATACAGAACTTTGAGTATGAATTAATTGAGGTTTGAGTTAGTTTCATACCTGATTGGAGTTTCATTCCAACTTTTTGTTATGTATTTAAAGAGATTCTCATTAATGTATTACACCTTTGAGGCAATGTTGTCAGTTTAAAAATTGAAAAAATATGGAATTATTACAAAGCGTGTATCGATTCCTCATTGTATGACATTCAGAAAAGTCATACGTTATCTTTGTAAAAGGCTGAATTCTCAATTCAACAGTACGGTCATTTAAATATTAGTTTTACTGCACAAATGTTACCAAATACCAACATAAACAAACACTTTATAGCTCAAAGTACACTTTTAAAGTGAGTACTGGAAATTACTTTAGTCTTTAGACTTTGAAGTAGTTGAGATTCCACTTCCACAAGAGCAGGATTTCTGTTTCAGCTTATTAGAGTCTGTTATCTGCATGCTAATGGTAAGTTACGTATGTGATCAACATGAGAGCATGGTAAGGCTTAGTTAAAACAGAAACAATAGGAAAGGCTTAGAAGTTAAAGCTCATGTGTCATTAGCTTGAAGTGCTATGAAGTCATTAAAGGAGAGGAGCACAGTTGAAGCTGCAGAGGGATTCCTTTTCCATTCAGTTCAGAGCGACTGAGGTTAGAGCCAGAAATTCAAGATTACCGCACTGCGTTAGCTCCAGAAAACATTCCTAGCGTCATCCTGGTTTTCCAATCCCAGATCATGTTAATATATCGAGGATTCCTGAATGACTTTGCACCATGCATCGTTATAAAACAAGGGGCTGCTGCAGGACTTTAGAGTGGGGTTCAACGTTAAACTCCACGAGAGAAATATAAGAGTACCTGAAGTGGATCCTAAAAGTTCCTGGTGCTGGAGCGATTGGCTGTCAGTCTGTGGGGTCAGAGTCCTGGCTGTTATACTCAGCCGTCTCCATCTTGAGGATGTAGGGAATGATGCTGTCAATGGAGACGTTACCTATCAAGCCAGTGAAGAAGAGCTCCTCTGTGATGCCCGAGTTCATGAGGCGCAGCGCCGGGAGACGAGTCAGGATACGGGTCAACCTGGGAGACAAGAAAACTCATCTAAACTCATGTGTTCACTGTTTGGCAAATGCGGTGCTCTTATATGTTGCATAGCATTTTCTCAAATGTGTTTATGGTGCCAAAATGAATGTCAGTTAGCCAGAGAGACACTACATTTCCTATACACTAAATCTAGATCCTAAATCACTAAATCCTCTATACAAGTGAATACCAACTGTTGAGGAATCATTTTCTTATGTATTCAACCTTTGACACAGTTCATAATTTTCTCTTCTCACTGTCTCCTTTCCCATGGCATAGGTCTACGGCCTTGGGTATTGCTGCTATCTCTCTTAAGGAGGGGCAGCTTGGGCGCATTGTTGCTGCCAGCTTATGACCAAGCACAAGCTGACATGAGATAGTTTATTGTTCAGGGACATCTAGAAGCCCTTCTTTTTAGGAAGGTAGGTTCCCTTGCGCACATTCTTTTCTATGGACGACAGCTCTAGTTAGATTCAGGGTCCATATTTGTTTAGTCTCGCTGATGAAGAATGTTGATTATTACACTCCGAACTAGTTAAAACCTGGAACTACAGAAGAGTTCTTCAGAATTGATTGTGGCATCTCAACCGTGTGGTCAACTCGTGGCCCGTGACATGTCTTGTGAATTCTCCGGCCGAAGCTCCAAATAAACCGTCAGTGTTTGCCATCAAAGCTCCAGCTCTCCTCGTGTCTCTCTGAGTCCTGTTTCCAATTGCTTCAGAAGTGTCCCCCACACCAACCTCTTTTCTTTTACTTCCAGAGCTCAAACAGATAAGGTCAAGTACCATTCAACACCACCCGTTTAACCCCACATTTATTCATTGTAATGGATTTCTAAACTGGATGATATTAAACCAGATCAAAGCTAGAGTGCCTTACTTTCTATATATAAATAAACGCCTATTTAATTTCAATCCAAAGAAGCTCACACAATGCTGATCAAGCTATCGTCATGAGGAAAATCTCCCTGTATTCTGCAGTATTTTGGATTTCTAGTGTCTGGCGCTGGTGCATAAATAAACACTTATGGTTACAAAGCTGCATTCATTTAAATTAGAGTGTATCAGATGCGTGAGACGTGCTAGTAAAAACTGACATGCTTGCAGTCCAGACGAGGATGGACAGGAAGTAAGGATGTACCTGTAGGTTTCCTCTGGGTATGTTTTCTGCACGTAGTCCTGCAGCTCCATCAGGGCTTTCTCCTGGAACTTCTCAATCTGACCACTGCTGTCCACACCTGGGTGATCTGATAATCAAACAGAACAACTTTTCATTTTCAAAATGCAAATACAAGTCATTTATTCAAAGCACTCTCCCTCCTTCATGGAAATCTTTAGATTTGAATGATACCTATCATTAACCTGTTGGAGGAAAGCAGACACTCACCAGGGCTGAACAGCACTATAGCTTTCAGGTAGGCGTACTCGTAGCTGTCCGTCTCCAGCTTCGTCATGCTGTTACAAAACTCCTGGAACTTCCAGATGTGCTCCATCACCTGCTTCACCCTCTCCCCCGAAAGCTTTTCTGGAAAACGAAAATGATTTATAAAGAAGGCTTCATTATTTACTTTAAGATGAATCTTGCCTGGAGTGTCACGTCAACCAAAAATAAAAATCAATATCAAAGACTGTTGACTGATGACACATGTTGTCATGTTTTGTTAAAATCGGTAATAATCTGCGGTGGCAGTTGCAAAAAATAAAGCAGTTCGGCACAGAGTACAGCTTACAGCCAAGCATAATATTTAGGGCTTGATTGCAGAGTGATTGACAGGACACTGTCTGTCCAATCAGACCGGGCTTTTTCAGCAGATTCTGAAAAAAGGCTGAATATAGCTATATGCAGTACGGAGCCCTGGAGGGTTCATAGAGAGAAAAATAAATAAAACGAGGCCACGCTTTATTAATTTGTGCGCACGATATACTTTCTCGTTCGCACGAGATACTTTCTATTACGCCATATTATTAGTTTTATGAAGAATATGTCCGG